AAATATTCACCCAGTTTTGATCTACATTTATTCCACAATTTAAATAGTGATCTAATAAATTATTAATATTCAAATTTCTCTACAGTGTCCTTCATAAGTTCAGATTTCCAATTCTTGATATTTGTTTGAGATGAGTGTTTACCTGTAATGCTATTGTTTTTCATTGTTCTAGCAATGTCGTTGTCTTTACGTACTTGATACAGCAAATATTTTAGAAAGAATTATAGCGAAAGTATTTCCCATTCCCATTATTCGCCGCGCCTATTGATAAAAATATTTACAAATACAATCTGTAACAGATAGGTAAATCAAAGAGATATCGAAAAAAAAACATGTTATTTTCATTCAATGTAAAATGAAAGAAAGTTTCGATATTTTCATATATATATAAAAATAGCATAGTATTGCACCACGTCCTTTAAAGATAAAAAATGATGCAACTAAACGCATAAACGTATATCTAAAGTATACATGAATATGAACTTTTTTTTACCGAATTTTGATTGTCTTTATAAACATCAAATAAGGTATATCTACTAACAATATACCTAATTTCGCATACAGGGCACTATAAATTACATAAGCCAAACTTATCTAGTGATATAACCAAGGACATTTAAATAAAGGGGACTATGCATGTCACAGTCTATCTCATATGTTGGGTGAAGTTAGACAAGGGGAAAGCAGAGGGCTTTATTTTCATCCAACTGACGCGCGCGATTACATCTCCAATGTCGTACATTTTGGATGGGTCAAAATAAAATATTTTACAGTCCTAAGTCAATATATTTCAACAGCTACTCAGTATTTTTATAATAAATATATATAATATTTTTATAACTTCTTGGAATCCCAATAATTGTAACCATTTCTTTCTTGTTGCACCATCCCCAAGCATCCTAACACATTTCACTTTTAGAATACTGAGGCAAATTTTCAGTGAGACATAAAAATATATTCCCAAAGGAGAACATCAAATGGTTGAATGAATGCAACTTTCAGTTATCTTCGGTATTTTTATGTATAAGTGAACCACCACCATATTTTTGCTGTTGTATTTATTCAGTTTTTATGCACGTGCATTTAGTAAAATTGTAAATATATTTTTTGAAAAGGTTTTTGTCGTAGAGGAAAATGAAAATGATGAATGATTAAAATTTGTAATGTTGGGTATAAGGGATAACATTGAAATACCTATAAATATATTAAATATAAATAATGTCTGTAACTTATTTGTGGTGCAGCATTTTCCTTTGATTTTAATGGCCAAACGTGGTTCAAATTATTGTTTTCTTACTATTTCAGCAAAAATTTAAAAAAAATACCAAGTCAGTTTTATAAAATTTTACCGTTATTCAAATAAAAGTTACCCACACGCACGACAATGGCCACAGTTGCATATACATTCCAAAGTCACCTTCAAGCACGCTTACCTGTGGAAGGATAGCTGATGTGGATGTTTATAATCCAATTTCTTACAAATTCTGCACTGTCTAACCATATTCACACCTTAAAAGTTTATCCAAAATACATGTATAAACACTAATCACGTTTCACTTACTAAAATCACAACTATTTTCTAACAAGAGACGCCATATTCTGCCAACCAAGGCAGAACGAACGAGGAATACGCTGCAAATTATTGCGTAGTTGCCAAGTCTTCAAACATGACAAATATGAAAAATGAAAAATAGTTTAATATGTACAGAATTTAACAATATTGTATGCATAACTTAATAATACTATCCTATAATAATAATTGTGATGAAAATTTCGATAAAAATGTTAAGTACATTTCCAGTATAATTATACAGCTGACAACAATGATACAATTAGACTGTGAATTGACCAGGCTTCATCTAGAAATGTAAATAAATAAGTCCCCTTTATTTAAATGTCCTTGGATATAACTATTCAAAATAAGAAAAAAGCTACTCATGAACATAGATTGGTAAATGCTTATTGTTAGTTCTCCAGCTACAGGTTATTAAATTTGATATTCCTGCGAATTTCCTGCGAATTTCAACTTTAATTTTTCAATATATTGAAAAAGACGACTGAAGACAAATAAATATATGAAAATTTACGTTTATTCTATTATCCTTTAAGGCCAGCATTTTATAGACAAGAAATCGCACTTTAGAAGATTTCTTGGAATTTTAATTAAAATTCCATCAATTTTAATTACAATATCCGTACCTAATTATTTATTTTGACCATTTTATTTATTAACTAAATTCCAGATACTTCTAGATTTATTATTGAATTTATTAGCTATTAGTGACTAGTAAAATAAAATCACCTTTACATTTATCTATCTGTGCCGTATAGTGCAACTTTGCCCTTCGGTATTAACGTCGATTAGGTATCTCTTTGCATTGTATTCTTATGCAGGATGTTTCTCAAGTAGAGGTAAAAAATCCAGGGGCGTATTATGTGCCTAAAAATTAGTTATTTTTTTTTGTTATATAAATGTGGGATCTTAGGACAAACATTGTCCAGCTACAGCGTGTCAAAAATTAAAATAAAAACCAGTTTTTAATTTTTAATTTCTAAACAGTTTGAGATAATTTAACCAAATTAGGTGTGCATATTTATTATGATAGTATGTATGAAACAGAAAATTACTAGTTTTAGAAACTTACCAGTGGCGGAGGTGTGGGTATCATCGATCATTATTTGCCAAAAGAAATATATCACCGTGTATAATATTACAAATAAAATAGGTCATCATATGCGCTATTGTATTATCTTCACTTTTTGTTTCTTTACACTTTTTTGTATTCCAAACCGATTAACAATAAAATTTATTTATTTGATTACGTGCATTTTTACGCAGTTACTTAATTTAATTAAACACATATCTTAGGGAAGCCATGCAAAACAATAATAATAAGAAGCCGTTCTTATTTAATATTGTGTATTGTCACATTAAGCTTATTTTTTAAAAAGGTGCATATTCAAATGCTGAAATGGTCAATATGGTTTACATTTATGGCCTTGCAGATGGAAATGGTACTGAGACTGGGCGAATTTATATGGAAAGACAACTTCAAATCCAAGAATGTTCATAAATATTTTTTGACTTCAGAGAGGTCCAGTTCTTGGAAGACGTTTGACTGTTAGAACTCCTGAGTTGAAAGAAGCTATTCAACACGAAATTGACCCAAATACTAGTATTAGGAAGATCGCTGCAAATTTAATGTGAATCATAAATTAGTTTGGTACGTTCTGAAGCATCAACTGTTATACCCGTATCACATACAAAGGGTTTAAGCCTTACTGCCGCCAGACTATTCTGCTCGCCTACAATTTTACCACTGAATTTTGCAAAAAATTGAACAAAATGTTGACTTTACCGGTGGCATATTGTTTACCGACAAGGTTAATTTTTCCAGAGATGCTATAATGAACTTCCACAATAAACACGTTTGGTCTGATGAAAATCCTCATGCCATAATGCAATCACGATTTCAACATCAGTTTTCTTTGAATGTATTGGAAATTTTCTTGTTGAGCGTTACTTTTTACCAAGAACTTTAACCGGTGCCTCCTACAGACATTTTCTTGAAAACGTTTTACCTGAACTAGGTACTTGGCAATGCGCTAAGAGAAATAATGTGGTTTATGCACGACTGGGCTCCCCCACATTTTAGTATAACTGCTCGTGAATTTTTAAATGAAAGATTTGGTAATAACGTGATTGAACGAGGCACTCAAGAACTATGTCAAGTTTGACCACCCAGATCACCCGATATGAACCCTATTGATTTTTTTGTTCACATTGAATCTGAGGAGCACTTACGTCAACAAATTATAGCTGGTTGCGATGCGATCAGAGCTACTCCTGGAATTTTTGCACGTGTTCGATCTGCAATTTCAAGAAGATCTGAAACATGTATTTTGGCTGAAGGTGGCCATTTCCAACATTTATTAATTAATTATTTTGTTATTTTTTTAAGTAATGTAATGAGTATCGTAAAAATGTATTAGATCTAATAAATCAATTTTGTTGTTAATCGGTTTGGAATACAAAAAAGTGTAAAGAAACAAAAAGTGAAGATAATAGAATGGCGCATATGACGCCCTATTTTATTTGTGGATGATATACTTTCTTTTCGCAAATAATGATCGATGATATCCACGCCTCCGCCACTGGTAAGTTTCTAAAGCTGGTAATTTTTTGTTTCATACTTAGTTTATACCAAATATGCACAACGAATTTGGTTAAATTATCTCTAGCGGTTTAGAAACTAAAAATTAAAAATTGATTTTTTAAAATTTTTGACGCGCTACAGCTGGACAATGGCTGTCCTAAAACCCCACATTTATATAGCAAAAAACCCTTATTCTTGGCCACAGACTACGCCTCTGGATTTTCACCTCTATTTAACAAACGCCCTGTATATTCTCTATAAAATTAAGCGCCAGATTATATAAATTGTCAGAAAAAATAAACAGCAGATATCTAATTATATCATATTATCTATATAGATAGATTTTAGCAAGCGTTTAGAACGAAAAAAGAGATTTTTAAATAATTTTAACAATAAATCCTGATAAAGTGAAATATTGTAAATATAGGTGTTATATAGATAAATATTTAAACATTAAACTTGCCGTTTTGGAACACACTGTAATAAAGATACGAGTTACTATACAAAGATGGTATCTCGCCTATTGAGAAACATATTTTGAATGGAACATTGCCTGATAAAAATTATCATCAACAAAACATTCTGACAACTCAAGTAGGTATTCGTCATACTATGAACTAGTGAACCCGGAATAACCTTTAGAAAGTATTATCTTACATTGAAAATTAATTCCTAGAAAATAACGGAGTTTGGGAAATACCAGCCACAGTACGATTTCTTTGTTTACTTTTATTCTTATCGAATTACATTGACTGACAGGACTGTACTTTATGAAGAAGAAACTGTCAGTTTTTACTGTAGTCACGATTTTTTTTTCGGAATTAACCACTAAATATGTTTCAGCGATAAGAAGAACAAACACTTCCTAGACGACTTCGACTTCGCCTACTTCGGAGGAGATAATTCAGGTCTCTCCAAGTTCGTCCAAGGAGGTGGTGAAAACGAAAGTGGAGATGGCAAGTCCCAGAGCTACGAAACTAATGAAAGCTACGAAAGCGGCGGCAGCGGAAGTAAGTAATTTACTTATCTCTAGGTACATATTGGTTACGAAAATACAAACGAGAGTGCTGCAGTGCCCTTTAGTTACTCTTCAGCTTTTTCCCCTCATTCCACAATTTGTAATTTTTACATTGGAAAACCATTTTATTTATTTATCCACAATCACCTTATAATCGGATTTTTTTTCACACATATGAACCGTCTAAACTGATATTTTATCAACTAGTGGAATAAAGTAGCTTCATTTCACTAGTAGAATAATAACAAATAATGAACTTATAATAAATCAAAATTTAATTATTAACATTAACATTTACATTTATAGTAATAGACATTTCGCTTTTTGTTTTATCACATTTAACTTCCTTTCCGTTAATAATAGCCCTTGTAGCATTGTTGCGATCATTTTCGGAACGCATAATGTCTGCCGAAGTTTGTGAAGAATTTAGATTTTCCTTGCAATATCAAGTTTGTTAGATATAGACTCCTCAATATAACTTTCTGCTACAGAGGAGCTCTTCCATCCACTATGCTGTAAGATCAGCATCTTTATTGGCCAATATAAGTTGTTGAAGTGTCTCATACAATGGCCAGTATATGCTTCTGGATTTGCGATATTTTTTGAGGGTACCTTCACCAATGTGTTGATTCCAACAGGCTGAGAAGTACATTTTTTATTGATGTGTCTTGTAATGCCCGTCTTGGTGTCAGGTATTGAAACAAGTAAATAACTGTCAACGTCCTGTACGTCAGTAATTTTGAAATTTGTCAATTCGCAGCATCGATAGGCACCAGAAACCTCTGCAATGCTGCAGCGTTCTTTGTTTTGTATTCTCTCTATTCACTCTTCAAATAAGCAGTAAGGTTGTTATATTTTCCAACATTTATATTTTTGTAGACCTTTATAGTAGCCTTCAAAATCGAATAATTCGACCACATAGATGAAATTGCATATTTTTTCTTCAAATTTAAAAAAATACTCTCCGTTTTTCCCTCCATTCGTTAAATTTGGCGAACACTTTTTCGTAATGTTCCCTGGATTTCGCTGGCAATAAATGGAAAATTGCTTCTTGAGCTTCTTCAAAAACAGCCTCAGGAACATAATTACTTTATTGCATTTTTACCAAATTCAGATAGAACGATTTATTATATAATTGATAATAAACAACGTACCATAGCTACCAGTAGGTGTAACAAAACCTACACGTTTCATTGAATACTAGTAAGAGATATTAAGTCGTGCGAATATTTTTTTATTAAAATCCAATAATTCTGACTTTATAAATATAGGGTGTTTCTAAAATAGGGAATTTCTGCTACGTTTATCTCATTAAAATAAGCCAAAAAGTTCCTATTAACATGTGCCCTACGCACCCTTAGGAAGTTATATGCCCTTAAAAGGGCTCAAACAAAACTGTTTTTTTTTTTCAAATAAATTGCAGTTATGATCATTTAATAAATAATTTAGGACATAAACTAAGACTATTTAAATTTAGAGTTACACTTACTAATTAATGAACTAGTTACTACTGCAGACTATAATAGCTAAATGTGAAATAGAAAATAATGGGATTAAAATTAGTAATAATAAGTTAAATTACAAGAACTGCTCGAAGTGACTACCTTGCATTTCGATGCATAATCTAGCTCGACGCTTCAATGATTTGCGAACTCTTTGGAAAATTCTAGGTGTTTGCCCTATTTCCATGCACGCGGTTTCAATTTCGTCCCGTAGTTGCTGAATGGTCTCAATTGGAATTTTATAAACCTTTGCCTTACGTTGACCCCGCAAAAAATAGTCCAGGGGGTTAAGATCAAGGGAACGTGGAGGCCAGGGAACAGGACCTTCTAGGCCTATTCATTTTTCTCCATACAACTCATTTAAGTGTTGTCTTACATTATGTAGGTAATGAGGTGGCGCCCCGTCCTGCATAAACCAAATGCTTTGGCGTTCAATTAAAAGGACATCTTCCAAAAGTCCTGGCAAGACGTTAACTAAAAAATTGTAATAATCCTCACCATTCGATCGATTAGGCAACACAAACGGTCCGATTAGCCGATCGTCCAAACGTTGACGGAAAACCGAATTTGATGTCTGAACTGGAATATGCTGTGTGGGTTTTTATCAGCCCATTCATGAGCGTTATGAAAGCTTGCCTCATCCGTAAACAAAATAAGAGATGCAAAATTCGGAATCCGCCTCGATTTTCGCAAAAACTATTGGCAGAGCTGCCGACGTGATTCGTAGTCATTCGGATTTAAAGCTTGAACACGCTGAATATGAAAAGGATGAAGTAGTTGTTCGCAAAGAATTCGCCAAACTACGGAAAAACTTATGTTATGCATACGTGCGACACTTCTTACACTAACCATTGGATTGTCCTGCACAGCTCTCAATACATTTTCTTCCATCACCGGTGTTCTTACAAATCTGTCTCTGCCACGATCATTTACTCTTGGTTGGAACGAACCATTTTCTCTTAAACGTTGATGGATCCTCTGAAATACCTGTCGAGAAGGAAGTCTTCTATTCGGGTATGCTGCCGCATACAGACGCCTCGCTTCTGATGCATTTCCAGCTGCACGGCCGTAGATAAAGTGCATATTTGCCATTTCCGTGTTTGAATATGACTCCATTTTATGAGTTGCAATAATGTTGTATACTTAAATTTTCCACTCACCACTTTTACTAATTAAACACTGCAAAGCTCAATGGACAGTTTATCAATAACTTAAATTGTTAAGCGTTGTGGCAACGTCAGTCTTTTATTTGCCATGGTAAACAGATTTTTGTAATTTTTGGCCTAATAACTTAAAGAGCAGAGTAATTTTCAAACTCATTTTACTCGAAAACCATTGGAAATATCGATTTGGACAAAGATAATATTTTTTTACGTAAAATTGTTAAGATTTTATACTTAAATCTGTAGAAAAAATTGTAAAAAAATTGAAATAAAAAAAATTACGGGCCGAAAACCCACTTCACCAACCTAAATGGGACGCATATGATTGGCATGTCGAAAAACGGAGTAGCCCATGTTATTTAACGTAAAAAGTTATGTAAGACCCATAATTTTGTTTCTATTTATTTGCGACCGTTTTGTCAATAACAGAAAAAAAATACAGTTTTGTTTGAGCCCTTTTAAGGGCATATAACTTCTTAAGGGTGCCTTTTAGGGCACATGTTAATAAGAACTTGTTGGCTTATTTTAATGAGTTATAAACGCAGCAGAAGTTTGGAACCCTATTTTAGAAACACCCTGTATGACTGTGATGTGATTATGGATAAAACGTTATATTGCATTCGTGTTTTAATTGCTTTTTATCCACTTAAGAACATTGTTGCGTGTATAAAATTCTACTTAAAACACTTACAATAAATAACTATTATTTATTTAGATATTACAATACCCAAAGAACAAAGTCCCAATTACAAGATAAGATAGAACAGAAAACCTTAAGAATATTAAAAAAAGACAACTAACACTAAATATAAAGACATAGGTACTAATACAAGATACAGCAATCAAAATATAAAATCGAGACTTAAAAGAACTTAAGTATAAACAATAACAGACAAACAAATCAAATAAGCTAAATAACATACACAGGACTAGGATAACATTTACTAAACAAACATTTTTTTATGTTATTCATAGAATGAAAAAACATATCAAATCGATCTTCATACTTTCGATAATTGGAAATTATTTGTTATAGGGGAATGCATTAGTAAATTTGTACCTACACAAGACTAGGATAATATTTACTAAACAAACATTTTTTATGCTATTCATAGAATGAAAAAATATGCATTAGTACATTTGTACGAGATGTGGATAATTGTAGAGCAGAGTTAAATCTAAAATTAAGTCTAGGAACATGATATAAAATCTTTGAAACTAACGAATCTGCAATATTTGAAAACACAATTCCGCTATGACAGAGGCTGTTAAAATTAAAACAAGAAAGCAATAGTTCTTAAAGTGTACCACGAGCAGGATAAATCCCATAACTAACAAAATGAACAGTCTTTAAGTATAGTCGTTGTACTTTCTCCAATTGGATATTATAAACATTACAAATGGGACTTCAAACAGTCGATGCATATTCGAGTTTACAACGCACAAATGCTACATACAATATATTTAGAATCTTTACGTTCTGAAAACCCTTCGAATTACGTAAAATAAATACATGTTTTAAAGCAGATTTGGTTATTAAACTAATATGCTCATCAAACGATAATCTAGTATCAAATGTAACAACAAGGTCAGTAAATTGCTTAACTTTGTTTAGAAAAGATTGACCAATTTTATAATAAAAATTTAGAGTAGCTTTGCGTCGCTGTAGGACATAATTTTACGTTTGCTGACATTCAGAGGTAGATTATTATTTCAACACCAACTATACGAGCTGTCAAGATTATCTTGGAATCTAGTACAATCAGTATTAGATTTAACTTCCAAGAACGACATAAGGTCATCCGCATAAAGTAAATAATTGACCTCAAGGCATTCAGTTAGGCCATTTATAAAAATAACAGCAGTGGCCCCAGGATTGACCCTTGCGGAACTCCTTAAGATTGCTAGAATTTAAATTATTGAAATCCACGGTATCTGTTACTGAAATAAAATTTAAACAGAGATAACGGAGTAGGGGAGATACCACATGATTCTAAATTCAATGTCAGTAAATTATGATCAAAATCAATTTACCTACTTACTCTTCTTTGCTATTTTTATTTCTTATATTTTTCTTCTTTGGTATTACTTCTGTTAAATGTTTCGTATCTGCTCCATACACAGGAAACATTTTGGTCAATAAATCTACAAAGAAATAAAAAAATATCGTAAAATCGAAATAATTTCAGTCAAGACGAAGGCTTGGAGCTAACTGGAATTTGAAAGTGACTCATACCTAGAAAATCATGAACCAGTACGTCACAAGCCAGTGACTTCACAACTTGAATCGAAAAGTCATAAATCAAAACACACAGCAAGTATAAACA